AAGAAATTTATGCTAAAATATCCAATTATTCAATTTATCAAATTAATCTTAAGATAAAAGATGTTAATACAAAAAAATATACGATTTTTATAACTTCTAATCAAGATACTAATGAATATAAAAATCATTCAATTTTTAAAGTCTGTAATTTTAATAATTTTATTAATACCTTTAAATCAGTTATGAAATGGATTCCTATCAATTCTTCTCAAACCAATAATCAAAATATCACAAATAATATTGACAATAACGATATTGGTAATATATTAAGATATTCATTATTAGAAAAAAATAGTCCTTTACAATATTTAAAACAAAAAAGAAAATTATTTGGAAATTCGAAAGAAATAACTTTTAATAATGATAATCAAAATAATGATAATCAAAATGAAGATATATTTAATAATTTAGAAAAAGAAGTTGATAGTATAGTCGATAAAGAACTTAAAGATAATGATGGAACTATTGATAAATATGTATATTTCAATTTAAGAAAAACAAAGGAGATTAATTTTTGTGAATCTGAGCATTCTTTATGTGAAGATTCTGATGATGATGAATTTATTCCTAAAGATAAAATTATTTTTAAAGAACAAATGATAAAAGTAAATGATAAAAAATTTAAAATAAGAAAAGAAAAGAAAGAAAAAGGAAAAAGATTAACAAAAAAGGAACAATTGAAAAGAGAAGTTAAAGATCTTCTTGTTAACTCTGAAGATTTTTTCAAATGGAGATCCGATACATCAAGAACACCACGAAATAGTAGAAATAATATACAAAAAAGAAATGATAATAACAGTGATAATGATATTGAAATTGATGAATATGAAGATGAAAATTTAAAAGATATTTTGGAAAAAGAAAAAAAGAATGATATTGATAATGATTTTATAATTGATATAGAAGAAGTTCGAGATGGGATGAACAAAACTATTATTAAAGAAATTCAAGATGAATCAGGTAATAATAATAAAAAAATTAGTAAACATTTTACTGTTAGAAATATTGAAAATTTTAGTTATTGTGGATTAGAATTTAAAAGTGCTGAAAAAATTACATTTTTTGAATATGAATAGTTAAATATTTTTTTTATTTAAATTTTATTTATTATTATTATTTTTTTATAAATATGTATTAAATATATTAAACATTTATGTATAAATATAACAATATAAATTAATAAATATGAATATCGAAAATATAAACGAACAAGAAATAATATATAAAATTGAAAAAGAAATATTATTATATAAATTTATCACAGATCTTATATTAATTTTAATAACATTTATAACAACGATAATTGGTCTTTGGTTAAAAAATAAATATTTATTAAATACCCTGAAATAAATACTCGAAATAATACATTGATAAATAATTAAATATGTAATACATGTAAAGAAAATAATATTTTAATAGAAGAAATATATAAAAATCTTGAATTTGAAAAAAATGAAAAAGATTTTGAAAAACAAATAGAAGAAATATTAGAATTTTCTAGAATAATTAACAACAAATAATTTATTTTACGTATTATTAAATTTTTCTTCAAGTAATTTTATCGCTTTTTCTTTTTCTTCAAATAATTTTTGTTTTTCATTTTTATTACTATTTCTTAATTCATTTAGTAATTTTTCTTCCTTTTTTTCTTCTTCTTTTTTTCTTTTAAGATATTTCTTATGAATAGCAGTTCTATTTTTTTTTGCATTTCTTTTAATATTAATTATTTTATCTTCTTCTTCTCTTTCTACCATTACTATTTCTTCATTAAATTCCCTTTTGATTTTATCTAATATTTTTTGTTTTCGTTCTTCACGAATTTTATATTTAAGATTGATTATTTTTAAGTAAAGTTCTTTTTCACCTTGGTCAAATTCATAACGACAAAGAGGACAAGTAATTATATAATTATTTTCGTTATATAAAAATACTTCTATACATTTTAAACAAAAAGAATGTTGACATTCTATAGTAAAAGTTCTTCGTCTTTTTTCTAAACAAATTGCACAATTTTCATTAGAAACAGGAATTTCAATAATGTTTTGAGACGATTTTGAAATTTCTTCATGTTTACGTTTTCTTGAAGAGGTGGAATTTGAAGAAGAAATAATAATACAATCTGAGTTATTGGGATTGTTGGAAATAATTGTAGAAGACATTTTTTTGATGTTGTAAATATTAAATTTTATTTGTTTATTGGGAAATTGATATTATTAAATAGCTGAAGGAAATTATTAATATAAACAGATTATTAAGATTGTAACTTCAAATATATTTGTGTGATTTAAATATAAAAGGAAATTATGATAATGGATAAACTTTAAGAAATAATTCGAGTTTGATTATTGTTTTGTTACACATTTTTGATAATGATCATCAATAAATATTGATCGGTCAAGTTTAAATATATTGTTTATTATATTTTAATTTATATTAAATTATATTATAATTAGTAATAATTTTAAAGTAAAAAAAATTCTATTTTGTTTTTTTTATCAATTATTAATTTCAAAATTTTATTTAATCAATATTTTTTTTTGTTAAACTAAATAAAATAGTAAAATATATTATGGAAGTCAAACGTTACTTTAAGTTAATTCCAAATGAAATTTTTGAAATTATTATCAAAATAATATCCGATAATATATTTGATGATGTTTATAAAACTAATATATATCTTTATACACCAAAGAAAAATTTTAATACTCTTCGTCTTGTTGATAAAGATTTTAAAGAGGGATTTGAAAGATACTTCATTAAATGATTCAAAATAGAATTTGATTGTAATATTAAATATGATGTTCCATTTTTATTATTATTTTTTAGATATTTAAATGTTGATATTTATAATTTTGAAAAAGTTATCGAATTTTTAAATAAAAAAGAAAATAATATATTAAATTTTTGGGAAGCTATTATTATAAATAGTTGTTTTATCGATATAAATGAAACTTCTATTATAGAATTTTTAGTAAATATATATTGTATAAAATATATAAAATTTTATAAACCTAATAGAATATATTATATGAAAGATTGTAACTGTTGGCAATACAATAATGAAAATTCTAATTATCTCATATGTCGTGATTTTGATTTAATTTTTAATATCTCTGAAAATTATTGGTATTATTATTGTTCAGAATGTTTATTTTCGGAAGTTGTTTTTGACTGTAATAAATTTTATAATGATTAAATATTATAATAATATTTTATTTAATAATAATTATTTTATTTTTATTAAACTTAATTTTTTTATATTATAATTAATAATTTTATTATAATTTAATATTAATAATAAAACCACATTTCATATTATTTTAATCTTAAAATTATATAGAAGACAAATTAATTTATACTAAATACGAATTGAAAAGTGAAACATCCATATTATTGTAATAGGGTTAATACTAATAAATAACATATTTTTTTAAACTATAATGCCAATTAATCATATTTATATGATAAGTTTTTTTATCAAATATTAAATTGTTATTACTAATAGTATTATTGAATGATACAGAATCAAATGAATTTTTAATCGGTAAAGGATATTTATGTTGATAATTTTCAATTTTAAATGATTCTGATTCATCTGATAATAATATTGGAGTTGGTGTTTGAATTTCTTTTTTTTTCTTTTTTCTATAAACAGATTTCGAATTAGTATAAAGTTCTTTAAATCTTATTTTAGCATTATCAGCAATTCTTCTATATTCTTTTTTTTACATATTCTGGTTCTTTTTTCCAAGTTTCTAAGATAATTGGTGATACATCAGTCATTTTTAAATTTATTCCAAACGAATGAAGATGATTAATAAAGTTTTTTTGATAGATGATAAAGGCATTACTTGATTTAGAAGGTGTGTAATTAGGTTTTACCGCAAATAATTTATCAATATCTATTTGGGATGGAAAAAAAGGCAAAGGAATGAATGATGGTTGGGGTAAATTTGAATTATTATGTTGTACAATGTTATTCAGTAATGTTTGGAATTCAAATGATTCATTCATTGTGTATCATAAAACGAATTTATTTTATCTAGATATTGTTATATTTATATATATTTTATTATATGATATTTATTATTAATTAATTTTATTTTATATTTAAAATATTATTTATATTATTTTAATATAAAAATTAGTAATTAAACAATACGATGAATGAATTTCGATAATCGATTGTATTAATTAAAAAAAAGGTAAACAAAATATAAACAAAAAAAATAAAATACACAGATAATTCGATATAGAAATTGATATACATCTGAATTAATAAATAATCTTTATAAATAAGGAATGAAATCGATTCTGTTGAAAAATATCGAATATGATTTTTTTAATAATATTAATTAATATTAAGAAAAAAAATATCGTATTGTATTTGTTGAAAGGCTTCATTGTGATAGTAGCATATTTCCGAGATCTTAGTTTAAACAAAGCTTTTAGCTTCCCTAAGAATCTCGTTGCGTAATTCGTCACAACGCAAACTCAAGATATGATACGATATGAATAAAAATTTGTATTCGGTCAAATGCTACGATAAGGAATGGTCTTTAAACAGGGTTAGTGCTCTTGATCATCTCCTCACTTTGAAAGGTAGCACGATCATTTGTGAAAGTCTCTTGAGAATGACGAATGATCTAGATAGTTTTTTTTTATATTTAATAAAATATTCAATTAGTAAATAAAAAATATTCGTAAATGTAATTAAAATGTTATTAATAATAAAATTATTAAAATTTGATGATTTTCGAATGTATAAAAATACTTGAATTTATGATTTGAAATGAATAAAGAAAAATATTAAATAATAATAATCATGTCTACTAAATCTGTTACTTTCAATAATATTGTTAAAGAGCTCAAATTTGAATATGAAAAAAATCTTGTAAAAAATCAAGATTTTGAATTTAAAGAAAATAATGAAATGCGAAATGAAATTAAAAGATTACAAAAAGAAAATCAAGAATTACAAGAAAAAATTAAAGTTGATTCGCAAATTCTTGCTAATTGCCAATATGAAAATTCAACATTAAATGATGAAAAAAATAAAGTAGAAAAATTACAAATACAAATTAAAGATTTACAAGAAGAAATTAATATTTGTGAATGGGAAAAGAGTGAATATGAAAAAAACATTAATCATAATTATGAAGTTCTTAGTCAATACCAAAACGAAAATTCGATATTGTTTAATGAAAATAAAGAATTACGACAAAGAATTAAAAATTTAGAAGAACAAGAATCTAAAAATGGAAATTCAAAAGAATTAATTAATCAAAACATTGAAATTTATGAACATCGAATTAGAGATATAACACAAGCATTTAATAATAGTATAGATCAAATTAGATATGAAAAAGAATATTCCGAAATAAAATGTAAAGAATGGGCAGATTATTTTTCATTTATTAGTAATTTTACAGATTTTGATTTTTTTGAACATATTGATTTATTTGATAAATATAAAACTTATGAAAATTATTGTAATGATTTTAATAATCAAAATATTAATAACATTGAAGAAAATGACAATAATATTAAAAATGATAAAGAATTTAATGAATTTATTTATTATAATAATTAGATATTATTTAAGATTTGTTTTATATTATCTATTTCTTTTTTAATATCATTATCAAAGTCATGTATATTATCTTTAATTAATAAATCTATATTATTATTTAAATAATTTTTAATACATTTATTATCATTTAATTTTAAATTATTTTTAATTTTGTCCAAATTTGGAATCGTTGATTTTATCATTTGATATTGTTTCGATATAACATCGCCATCAGTATTCAGGTTTTTAATTATAATTAATTCATCTAAAACTTGTTCGAAAAATTTTTTAATATTTAAATCCATATCAAAATATTTATTAAAAATAAAATAAATAATAATTAAATAATAATTTTGGTATTTGTTACAGTTAAAGAATTATTAAAATAAAATATTTCCTTTAAAGAAGTTTCAGAATTTTCAGATTGTAATTTAAGTTTTTTAAGATTTTTATGTAGAATACATTCATTATTTATATTTTCTA